TTGTCATGTGTAACCCAGATTGTCACTTTAAATGAGAAAGTTCTTGTGGCCGGATCCAATACGTTGCTGAAACCAAGATCATATACCAAGTATGTTGCATGGGGATTCCCAGACCGAAGCTTGAGATTTTTGAGCTATGATCAGGACAGACTCCTATCTACCCATGAAAATCTTCACGAGGGTAACCAAATTCAGTGTGCTGGGGTTAGTCACGATGGCCGTATTCTGGTAACAGGGGCCGATGATGGGCTGGTTTGGGTTTGGAGAATTACCAAACACGCGCCCCGTCTCGTTAGAAAATTGCAGTTGGAGAAGGCATTTTCTGCTCACACTGCAAAAATAACATGCCTTTACGTTAGTCAGCCTTACATGCTGATCGCCAGTGGATCAGATGATTGCACTGTCATTATATGGGATCTGAGCTCCCTGGTTTTTGTCAGGCAGCTTCCTAAGTTCCCAACTGCTGTCTCCGCAATTTTTGTCAATGACTTAACTGGGGAGGTTGTGACTGCAGCTGGAATTCTGCTTGCAGTTTGGAGCATCAATGGGGATTGCCTTGCAATGGTTAACACGTCCCAGTTGCCCTCGGATTCCATTTTTTCAATAACGAGCGGTACGTTTTCTGATTGGATGAATACAAATTGGTACGCAACGGGTCATCAGAGTGGTGCAGTGAAGGTGTGGCAAAAGGTTCATTACTCCAATCCTGCCTCCTCTCAGGTAAAATCTACTGGTAGTAGCATGGTTGGTCTGAATCTCGAAAATAAGGTACCGGAGTATCGATTGATTCTTCACAAGGTACTGAAATTTCACAAGCATCCAGTGACTGCGCTTCACCTAACAAGTGACTTGAAGCAGTTACTAAGTGGTGATTCCAGTGGCCATGTTGTTTCATGGGCATTGCCAGGTGAGAGCTTGAAAGCAGCTGCATTGAATCTGAAGTGAAATGACAATCAGGAATAGTGAAAATATCTCAAACTTTTCAAGTTGATATTTGATCTACTCTTCTTGGACAACCTTGTCGACGGTCTTGTCGTTGTCGTCCTTGTCTGCATGATCAAATACAATGTCAGATGTAAAATGACCGCAGGGCTGGCGAGGCGGTGAAACACGTGCAAAATCTGAAAAAATCCCACATGAAGAACATAATAGCATGAATGCTAATACTGAAATTGATGAAGAAGAGTATGAAGCAGGTTGTGGTGTATTTGGGAGCAGGCTGTAGGATTGTGTGATTGGACATGGTTTGTTGTATTTTCGGGGGAAATTTAGGAGCGTTCTCGGATTTTGAGCGAGAATGTTAGATTTTGCCCTTGGTGTTTTTGGGTGTAAATAGGTATTGATTGAGTGAGGGTGGTATGAGTATGTTGTTATGAAAGTGTATATAGGAGAGATGTGGGCTGTGAGCCTGATATGGCTCAGCATTGTCGGTCTGTTATGGCCCTCATTGTATGCGTTTTGGTTACAAGTTCTCTTGGTATGCTGCAATGGAACACTCCGTTTCTTTTATCAATTGTCATCAAATATGCAAGTTTTGAAATAACATTCTATGGCCTATGGTCTTTACTGTAGAAATCGCGACCCGACCAAAAATGAGTAAAAATGCATCACTTCTCCACGAAGATAATCAATTCGATCGTTGTGGGCAGACTATTATAGATTTCTCTAACCAGAGGGCCCATGAAGAATGTGGTTATGATCAGAGCGGGATTCAACACATAAATAAAGAGATCTATATACCTATCTTGACTCTGAAAACCTTTTAATTGCCACTCTACCAGAGATGATGGAAGAATTGATCGGAGAGAGAAGAAAGGAAATTTTGGATGATAACTTTGGTATTATAAAATTTTAATTGAATATTGGAGGGCATGGAGTTAGCGAACTTTTTCTTTTTCTTTTTCCCTTTCTCTTTTTACACTTTTTATTATATTGTTTCATCTTATTCTTTTGTTGGCAGATGGCCATGATCTTACAAAAACATGATCTTATTCTTTTTTTCTAATTTTTTTTTATTCTAAATTTTAATTTCAATTCTTAATTAGTTTCTCAATTTTTTAAAAAATAATCATAATATATTTTATATACCTGGGAAAAAAAGAAAAAAAAACATTTTTTACAATAAATTTGGTAAGTTTGTATCAATTTTAATCCTAATATATTTGAATAAATATATCAATTTACATCCAGCTAAACATTTCAAAAAGTGAAACAAAAACTTTATCACTTATTCAAATTATTGAAATCCACGGTTAAAATTCATTCAGTTTACCAAATTTAAAGTAAAAATCAAAGTTATGGATTATAATTGATACAACCTATCTAGTTTAGAATAAAAAATTTAACGACTAAATAAAAATACACAATAAAATATTTATTTTTCTAAAATTTAAACAACAAATAGATAATTTCACAGGCTTAAGATTTAAAACTTAAATTTAATCTTGATATTTTAATTTTTTTTAACTAAAATCTATTATTAAAAAAAAAAAAAAAACTAATACTAAGAAAAGAATCGATATTTTTAAAAAAATACTAGTTAAACATCTCCATCACCATCACTAATCTTAAAATATTAGGTAACAATTATTGATACTTTAAATTTTCATTAAATTACAATCAAAACTTTTCTAATTCAATTTCAACAGCATTATTAAATGAAAATAAAAAATGTTTATTACCTTACTTCGCATTGGATCGAAGGCTCGCTCCCATTCTGGACATGTGCCAATGGAAACCCTAACATGAACATATATATCTCTTCTTTATTTTTCTTAAAATTTCTAAATTTGGCTACAACTTTTTTTAGGGTAAAAATTTCCGATGAAAGAAAGATACAAATTCCCAAAACCCATACCAATTCTGAAAACAAATTGAGATTTCTAAAATTGGCTATCTAAATTTCTGAATTAATTCAATACAATAACAGAAAAAAGAATAATAATTGAATTCAAAATTAGGGTTACAAAAAATTAAGAGGAGAATCGTGATACCATGAGCAGGTGAAGCTACCACTATGATCCGATTCCGATGGACCGTTGTCGGGTGGCGGCGGAGAGTTCAGATTCAGATCATGCTGGCAGCTTTAACTGCTAGTGGCGCACGGCGGAGCACACGGCGGGGAGAGAGAGAGAGAGAGAGAGAGAGACATGGGTATAAAAGAGAAAAAGGGGTATAAATAGGTAGTTGGGCTCGGAAGGGATGGAATTTTGGGCGTAAATTAATTTAGTGATTTTGTTATTATTATATTACGTCAGAGAGTACATAAATAAATAAAGTAATAAAGTGTCCAAAGGGCACATGTAATTTTATTTTTTTTATAAAAAGAAATCTCCAGTATTAAACTAAAAAACTGATTTTTAATTAATTAATTGCTCACCTAGATCCTTAAACTCATAGATATGAAAATATTAACATATTTGATATATCCTTCCAATATTAACTGATATATTGACTAATTCAAATTAACAAATTTTGACATAACTGCTTTTAAATTACTTAATTCCAGGCAAAGGATTCAAAATGAAGTGTAATTGTTCTTACCAGTTCCAACCTTCTCTGGGCTCCTCCTTCTTCCAACAGTAACCTAAAAGTATGCATTCAGTCATAAATTAGTTGGAGTTGATACTTCAAATTATATACCCACCGACATACACGAGTGGGAGAAAGTAGAAAACAGGGCCCTAAATTATAACAGGATCAACAAAACGATCAAAAGCTTATACAATCTGATTTGATATTGAAAGCATAAAGAACACCACATAAAACAGTTGAGATTGTCTTCAAAATGGGCACCACTCTCTGGTTTCAACTCTTATGATAATTGCTGTTTTTTTGCCATCATTTTGTCTTTGGAATTCGAACTTCTTTTCTTCTCTCCCTCTCTCTCTTTCATATCCACTTTTCCCTCTACTATTCTTGGGGTTTAGGGTTTATGACATCGTTACTGTTTTGGATAAATTATTACTCCAATAAATACTCCCTATATATATAGTATTAAAAGACTATTAATTCCTAAAAAAAAAGTACTCACAAATACGTAATTTGATCTTTATTTCATCAAAATACACCACTCATCAAACTTTCATGATAATTAATTCCGATAATTTATCTATAAAAAATGTGGCCCACTTTCATTCAACCGCACTCCTCAAACAAAAGTACAAGTGTATCATTTTTTACTATGCTTTCAAATAGCCTCATTCCTTTTTCTTCAAATGTAAAAAGGAGTCTTAATCATCTTTTACTATACCTTCGAGAAGCCTCACTCCTTTTTCTATTGGAATTCTTTGTTCGACATTTGAAGGTTTTATTGACATAGCTAAGTTTAAAACATAGCTTTGATACCATATTAAATGAACACAACTCTACACAATAATATAATATTATCCTTTAAGTATAAGCTCTTTATGAATTTGTTTTAGACTTCCTCAAGTCTCATTCCAATAGAAATTCCCATAATCATTCTTTAAATTGGCAAACGTGGAACTTTCATCCAACCAAATAAACACAAAATTTATGCTATAAATTCATTATTTATAATCTAAACTATGGAAAGCATATGTACATTGTTATGAACAATACTTACACACATGAAATTGATGGGACTCATATCTATTCGTTAAAATTTAATGTCGTGTTTGAGAAAATCATACTTCTAATCGTTCAATTAATATTTTTTTTCAAACTAATTTTGAAAATGCTAAATGTGATTTAATCCAGTAATAACCATTCCCGAACATGTCATAAATCCAATTTGACTCTTGATTGGAAACGAAATATCTAAAAAGCAAAGCTCATACCAACTTCAACTGACCTGTGCTTATAACATATAAAAAAGATGGAAACGGAGATAATGTACAAACTCATTATTATCCGAAATCATGATAGCATGGCCAACCTTAACAACTTTAAGAAGGAAAAGAACTTGTTATTTCGAATAGAAAAAACAAACGGATATGATCTCAGTCATAATATCACTCAGAAACTTGCATGGAATGTGAAGAAAAACAAGGAGTTAATCTACAGAGCGGCTGGACCCAGCGAAAAGTTGAACAAATCTGAAACCTAACGAGAAACTCTAGACATGATTTAGATCCAATAGAAAAATGAAGAGAGTCAGCCAACCACAGCATAAAGCCGTACAAGCAAAAGCACATTTAAAAACATTAGGCCAAAAAACAACAGAGCAACAGGACGGTGGTTCCCCACCACCAAGCACCGGCAGGAAAAGCATGCTTTGGCAGCAAATAAAAGCAAAAGTGAAAGAAATTCAACTCTCTAAACAAAACAAGCAAACAAACAAAAAAGAAGCAACAAACAATAAAATAAAGAGAAAAGCAGAGAGGATAAAAGTTGCGATTGCACGCCTAGCAACAAGCCTATAACCGATTCAATAATAAAACTAACAACAAAAGCGAATCGAAGCGAACCATCACCCATTATCTTCGTGTACATGAAAAGCAGAGACGACAAAAAGTAGCAATCGCACACCTAACAAGGATAACTCGATTCAATCAATAAAACGACACATACATAGAAAGAAAAAAGCGAATCGAAATGAAAGCATTAGCAATTTACCCATAATCCTCGTGGAAATGGAGCAGATAAGAAATTTCACCACAGTTCGGAAGTAGGAAGGAGTGAGGCTGTCAGAGCATGACCTAACTAGGGTTAGCAATAAAGGCAAATTCATTTCAATCTCTTTATCTTTTAACTTTTCTCTTTTTCACTTAACCTAGCCGACCATAGGTAGATCATGCTGGCAGCTTCACCTTTTCCCTCGCGAACACAATCGCTCAATCAACGCACTCAAATCGATACTTTCGTAAGAATCAAAAGTAAGAAAAGAGAGTCAACGAATGCTTTAGGCAATCAATCCAGAGCCAAAGCCAAGGCCAAGGCCAGTTATCGAATCGAGTGCCAAGAAAAGAAAATCGAAAAGTAAAAGAATAAGCGAAAGAACAAATCCTCCTCCTTATGCCGAGAGTCACAACTCTCAAGGATGCAGGAGGAGAAGAAGAAGAAGAAATGGAGAGCGACCGAAAGCCGGCGATCTTTAGAGGAAAAGTAGCATTTGAAAGGGAAAGGGCCATGGATGGCAGATGATGAACGAACCAGAAGAAAAGAGAGGGAAAGGAAAGTGGGAAAAGCAGAAACAAAAAAAAAAGAGGGAAACAAAAGGAAGAGGGTTTGTTGCAAAACGCGTTGAAAATGGAAAAGTGAGGGGTCTCCCTTGGGTCTATTTATAGAGAGGAGTTGTGGGATTTATTTTAATTTTTTTAATAGCTTCAGTTCACGCCAACTAACCCTAGCCAAACACTGAATATTTACAAATATGACATTTTAAATAATTATTTAATAAGGATATATATATTTAAAAACATAAATAAATTTTATTTATTTATTTTCAAATAAATATTTAATAATTTGGAATTTCAACGCATGCCTTGAATGAAACCCTCAGTTGTCAATTTCATGCAGCTGCCCTTTCCCCTCTCGTTTTCCTTGACTACAACATTTCATGTCCAATCACATCACTCTCTAAACCCTAATTTCTAACTCTAATTTAAATTCAAAACAAACCATCACATTTCCATCTATATTCAACCACCACTCTTCTTCAAACCGTTCGATCAACTTTACACGACTTGATCACTTAACAATTCTGGCCCGAGCTTTAGACACTCACCCTACTTCTAAATCTCGATAATAAAAAAATAGTTGGTGAGTATCAAACGTGAAAGCAGTCCCCATCTCAGCTATTAAGTGGTGTAGTACCAGGTAAGAATAATAACGACATAGGCCATGGAAGATCAAAACCTCACCCTACTTCTAAATCTCGATAAATAAATAAGTTGGAGAGTGTTGAATGTGAAATTCTAGATCATTATCTTCAGTTCTTTATCGTAGAGTAGATTTGAGAGTGTGGGCTATTAGATATAGATTTCGTTGAGCATTTCATTATATGGGAAAGAAATCGATGTTTCTTAATTTTTTGTTTCTATAAAAAAATTTTAATTATATCTATTGACGTGGATACCGATATTTTATGTATATTGAGTATTCTATTACTAGATAATATTTTCTATATCTATAAATAAAATTTGTTTAAACCAGTGAAATTATGTTCTAAGTTTCTCATTCAAATTACGATTTAAATTACAAAATTAAATTAAAAAAAAAATCGAACAAAAATATATATTACCATTACCTGAAGTTGTATACAAATTTATAAATATTATTATTGAGAAAATAAATTTTTAACATATATATATATATATATATATATATATAAATGAAATAATTACATAAAAACACTCTATTTTAAACTTTAAAAACATTATTTAAAAAAAAGTGAAAATATTAAGAAGTAAAAAAAAAAAAAAAAAAAAAAAAAAAAAAAAAAAAAAAAAAAAAAAAAAAAAAAAAAAACATATAATTCCAAAACAAAAAA